TTCCCTATAATGAGAAGAACATCTTTCTTTGATGTCAGTTCTAGAAGGTGTTGTAAGTCTTCATAGAATTGGTCAATTTCAGCCTCTTCAGCATGGGTGGGTGGTGCATAAACGTGGATTACTGTGATGTTGAAAGGTCTGCCTTGGGTTCATATTGAAATCATTCTATCATTTTGAGACTGTATCCCAGTACAGCTTTTCCCACTCTTTTGTTGACTATCAGGGCTACTCCATTTCTTCTACAGGATTCATGCCCACAGCAGTAGACATGATAATCGTCTGAATTGAATTTGCCCATTCCCATCCATTTTAGTTCGCTGATGCCCAAGATGTCAATGTTTATTCTTGCCATCTCCTGTTTGACCACATCCAGCTTACCAAGGTTCATAGATCTTACATTCCAGGTTCCTATGCAGTATTTTTCTTTGCAGCATCAAAATTTCCTTTCACTTCCAGGCATGTCCGCAGCTGAGTGTCCTTTTGGCTTTGGCCCAACCACTTCATTACCTCTGGAGCTACTTGTACTTGTCCTCTGCTCTTCCTCAGTAGCATGCTGGACGCCTTACGACCTGAGGGGCTCATCTTCCAGCATCATATCTTTTAGCCTTTTGTTTCCGTCCATGGAGTTTTCTTGGCAAAGATACTGGAGTGGCTTGCCAATTCCTACTCCAGGTGGATCGCATTTAGTCAGAACTCTCCACTATGACCTGTCTGTCTTGGGTGTCCCTGCACCACATAGCCCATAGCTTCTCTGAATTACTTAAGCCCCTTCGCCATGATAAGGCAGCAATCCGTGAAGGGGTCCCCAATACTACCAGACTACCTACGTTGTGGATATAAACCTGTGGCCTAAATATGGTACTCTTTGTTTCAATAGAATCTTGCAAAATGCAATTGTTTACATAGGAAGGACTAGGAAATTGTATTTGCATAGTGAATCATTCTAACCAATTCAGAACCTGTCTGGGATTAGCCAATAGATGTTAAGAGGATTAACAGCCAGATAGATATCTAAAGTGGCAGTTGGCAGTCAGATAGATGTTAAGATATGTGATAACTGATAGGTGTTAGTTATGTGGTAGATGACAGTTGATAGTGTCAAGTATGTGTTAGGATGAGGCTGATAGGTCTAGCCGTTAAATGAGTTAATTGGTTGAGTAACTATGTCTATGAAGTTTCAGGATGATATACATGTCAACTACATGTACAAAGTAACAAATGTCAAAGCACTATGCGTTTATTCTCTTCTATAGTGTTTTAAACACTAAACATTCTTTAATGTCTTAGACAAAGACCAAGCGATCATTTAATTTACTTCCAACTGCTGGCACACAAACAAGGGAGAATAACAATTTTTACTCTGGGTGTGGTTTTGTACCATAATGCTTAAAACTATAGATTTTGAAACAGAGTAGCACAGCTACTTTTCTGTAAACCGTCAGCTGTCATCCCAAGAATTGCCATCTTTAGGTACCATATTTTAAAAATGTTTCCGTACCCAGTTGCAGCTTGTGGACCAAGACAGTTTGGAAGCCCAATGTTCCAGGCGAGACATTCCACTGCTTGGTTACAGTGTATACCCTCAGGCTTTGACAAAAGGACCCTCTTATTTGGAACTTTTAATATTTAATTTTCTGATATGCCTTTTTTTACAGAGTGTGAATTGTATAGACTTTGATAACTATGCATTCGTATTTGATATTATTGCATTATCATGTCAACATATTATTACAAGATATTGTTAATGTAAATTATGTCAATATATTGTATATAAACATTTTCATCAGGGGCTCCTGCTCAGAGGGGTCGTTATATGAGAGTCAGGTGCAGACCTGATGCGCGTTTTGCAAACTGCATTGAAGAACAAGGGCCGAGTTTTGCCATTCCTGACGGGAGGACTGCTAACATGATCCTTCCTCCCAACGCTGATCCATCACTGTAAGTACAGCTAATTCGATTCTAAAATATTGTTAGTCTTAACTGATCTTGAGAGAACTGAGTGTATATTCAGCATACGCTGTTTGTGACATTTGCATGATGTTGGACATATACATATGAAGATTTTATCCTACTCAGGCACTATAAAATATCTTTAATTTTAGCAGCATCCTTCTGTAAAAATTTACTGGCATTTACTTAGAACATCTTTGCTACCATTCTACAAATACGCACATGTTTACAGCAGCTCTGTTGTTCTGGTATAGCTCCAGTCGCTTTAATAGTGGCACGACAGGTAGAATTTCAATGGATTTTCTCATCAAGAAATGCAATATGAGGATTCTAGAAATTCAGCACATAAAAGTAAGCTGGCCTCAGTGAGAAATGAGAGTTAGACTGGGCATAGTGCTTGTTTTCTTTTTTTCTGCTGCTGCTCATCTTTTTCTTTTTGACTGCTCTGCCAGTTCTTTCATAATGTACGTCACTTCTATAGTCTAGGTTCACCTGCTTTCTTTTGCTTATATATATATACATATACGTACAAAACCTATTTACCTATCTATATTTACTTATCTATGAGAATGTATGACATTTACATTCCCCATTTCTTCCACAAAATCCCATCATGTCAGGCCAATGTACGTAAAGAGGCAGGTTTTTTAAAATGTGCGTATTTGTGCCTGGAGAAAAAAAACCATCCACCAAAAGCAAAAGAATAAAAAGCTGCCATGCCCCCCCCATCTTTATTTGTAAAAGCACCACAAGGAAGTAAGTACTGTACATTGTTTCAAGAATGACAGCAATAACACACTGATTGTGTGAACAGAGACACTTTGGGAATAAAGAGATTTGTGGTCTAAGGAGAGGGCTTTGTTTTTTATGGCCCCTCTTGTTGCCAGCAAACTAGGGGCCATTCAGGATGAAGCCCTGCTTTAATGAGTCCTGCTTTAGTATCTGTAATTTCTTCCTCATTATGGTTTAAGATGGCACACAGACTGCTTTGCTTTAGTACCCTCTCCATGTAACATCATACCTGATGAAGTATTTTATTTCAAAAGCTTGCACAGAAAAAATTGTGTCTTTTAGTTGGCCTAATAAACGGATAAGCGAAAAATGGATTATAGCTGTTAAAATTACATCTGCCGAAGTTATAGCTAGTGAAAAAAATGGTGACCTAATTACACCCTGTGCTTGAGGCCACTTGATACCCTCATAGAATAAAAGACCCTAAGTAGCCTGGATACTCTAGAATTAGGTAGACACACTGAGTCAAGCATCTATCTTGCTTTCTCCTTAGTTTTGGCTGATCAAAGGCATACAATACAGTTCCCGATTTCAGTTTTAGTATCACAATGTTAATTTGTAAATCCCCAGCTTATTTCTGGAAAGGAGATAAAGAAAAATTCAAAATTATGTCCAAGGTTTATAATGATTTTGTTTTAAAAAAATGTATATGTATTTCAGAATGAAAAACTTTCAAGACTTCCCAGATACCTTTCTGCTTTCTGGAGATGATGATGGATCTGGAAACGATGCAGAAGCAGAGTTTGGATCAGGCATTGAGTATGAAGAGGATGATCTCAGTATTCCTGATTTCAAAGTGAACCAACCAGATGAGAAACTGACACTTAAATTAACAAAAGAAGGGCTATTCTTCCATGAAAACAGACTGTGATCTCTGTCATGGCAACTGTGACCTTATTACTAAAATGCTTTTGTGTTTTATGTTCTCTAAGTAAAATTATTCACAGGCATAAATATTGTAAGAATTATACATGTTTTACAATATTTACTGCTATTATTTGATATCTTCTATATTGAATCTAGGCTCTTCATTCCTAAGCAGTAGATTCAATTTACAAAAGTTAAGACTTCTTTTTTTCAGAACAGTAGTTGAGAGGGAGGGGGAGGGGAGGAGAGAGAATTATTTGAAAGAATCAGACAGTTGTCCAAATGGAAGCAAGATCAGCTAAAAATTCAAGTAAAGACAAATGAAATTGAAGCAACATTGCTAGAATACCAACCAAGTAATAGAATGTAAGGCGATTCCCCTTCCAAAACCATAGTGTTTTTATGCCTAACTCTCTTGTACTATTTCAATTCAAATCTCATAACGTGGCTTCATGCTTGCAAACCTACATACCTTGAATCTTATTCAGTGCTCATTTTTACTGTATTTTATGCAGCTGAAAAGTCTTTTCTTTGAAACCTACATTTCCTCAGCTTATACTTCAATTAAAATCTAGGTGCATCTCAAGACTCATTTTTCATTTCTGGAGTATTAGGCGGAATCTTCTGCTTAGTAATATGTGCATTGCCAGAGACAGGTTGTCCATAAGCCGTCCAAATGAAAATGCCTTTGAAAAATGGATCTATATATTACATCTAGGCACAAGCCCTCCACTCTTACAGAAAATACACAAACTGAAAAAGTGAATACACATAAAATACTTGGTGCCTAGGCAAATGTAAACTGCAGACTTTGGAGACATGGGTTTACCAATGTTTTTGTTGTAAATATATTTCATGCATCCATGGCACATAGCTGTTCATCTAACATTCTTTTAAAAAAATAACAACCAATAAAGTACTGAAATTTAGCACTATATTAGCATTATATCAGCACAGCATAACTTCACCCAACCAGTCATTTCACTTGAACACATTTTTGAGCCACAAATTTATATATTCTTTGTATTTGTATTTCATGCTTCTATTGCACATAGCTCTTGATTCCATGTCCTTTAATAATCCAGTAAAGATGCCAAAGTGATTTAGCATACAGTATACAGTAGTGGGATGGAAGAGGCAGAAGTGTTCTCTCCCATACCATGCCTCACTGTGTACTTTTTATTCTATGCTCTCAAGACACACGCAACAATGTTCCAGAAAGACTGAAACAACAACAACACCTTCATTCAATATAATTCTGAGCCTCCCCACACCAAAAGCAAGGAAACATCACAACAACAAAAATCAGAGCACTCGGGGATGAACAAAATGTATCAGATACTCATGCACAACAAGGCACACAGAGGCTGAAGTCCAACAATAAGTCACAATTAGAGTTGGCCCAGTGGTACTTACTGAGGAGTTCTCACCAAACCCTCACTGATACCAAGGGTATCTCTAAAACTGACACATGAGCCAGATTTTTCCCTTTTCCTGTCCCAGTCACTGCTGCAATGCTTGAACAATAATAAATAACTGTATGCTGTCAAGTCAATTTTGACTTACATCAATTTTGACTTAGGATTTTCTAGGACTCAGAAGTGGTTTACCATTCCCTTCTTCTGGGGGCATCCTGGAACTGTGCAGCTTGCCCAAGGCCATACAAGCTGGCTCTTCTAGGATGTACTGTGGGGAACTGAATGCCCAACGTCTGGCTCTATAATGCAGTATATTTTGGACTGTTGCAGTTTCTCAGTTGTGTTGTCTGATGTTACACCTTGAGCCCACAAAACTCTCTGGGCTCTTGTTTTCCCCCTTGCATCCATGCTATAAACGTCCAGAATACATTACAGTTTAGAGGAGAAAGCCACAGATATGTGTGACTTTTTCTCCTGGTACCAGGATCACAACCATTGAGTTTAAGACATCTGCAGGTGAGGTGGAAAATCAAACATTGACTTGATTCCTGTTTGATGGACCTGTATTAACATAAATTTTCCTCTTGAGCCTGTTTGTTATACAACTTGAAGCTGCTAGCTGTAAAATGTGGTATGTGCAGAATCCATATGAAATTTATGGATTCTACAAGAAATTCATCATTGAATCTAAGAACACCATTCATTTTGAGCGAATGTGCACATCGACCCATAAGTGTCACTTTTGTGGTCAAGTTAAACGACAGACCAAAGTATATATCCAAGGCGACAGCAGAAAAGAAGATAGTGCTGCTTTCAGTTCTACACAGACACATTTGAGAGAAAGACTCACTGAACTCTAGAATTCACTTCCACTAAACATTCCCAAAGATTCGCCCGAACACAGGCAAAGCACACACCGCAGAAAACAGCTTAAGGGGGCGGAGCTACAGTTCCTACTTCATCCGTTCCCGCCGAGAGCATCGCCCTCTAGTGGCCCTGCCTCTCCACAACTCTTCCCTCCAGCCAACCAGTATCCTCTGCGCCACCCCGGGATGGAGCGTCACGTGCTAGGGGCGTGGCGTGAAGTGACGGCCTCTGAGGTCACATGACAGGGGCGCGGGCTAGGCTTTCTACAGTTGTTTGGGGAGGGGGGCCCGAGTCCGACCGACCATGGTAAGTGAGCGGCGGGCTTGTTTAAGGCGGCCGTGGGGGGGGAGGACAGCGAGAACCGGGGCTGTCAATTTTTAATGCGCCGTGAGGTTGGGGAGGCCTGGCGAGGCGCCGTGTCTTATGAATGGCGCCGCCTTCCCACATCTTTCTTCCCCTCCTGAGGCGAGTCGGGCCTTGCGGGGCTGTAGGGTCTGAGGGGGACTTTGGCCTTTCCTACGGCCACGGTGGTCCCCTCAGCTTCTCCTTAGGCCCCTTGACTCTGCCTCTTTAGCCGAACCGTTTGTTCTCGCGCGCCGGGGGGGGGAGGGGGCCCTCCTTCCTCTTTCCACGCGCTCCTTGGTGACGTTGGAAGGAGCGCGCGAGTAGCACGGAGACGTGTGTGTGTTGGGGGCTCCTAGGCCGGACCATTGCCGCCTTCTCGACCCCGCTGTCGCCCTTGAGGGGCCCTCGGGATTTCTCTGGGAGGGCGGGCGGGCAGACCTTTGGCCTGACGGGGTGGCTGTGTCACGGTGGACGTCTGGGAAGAAACCTACCGGGGGTCACGGCCCTGGGTTGACTCTCTTGTCTTGCAGCCCGGGTCCCTGAATCTTGTTTCCCTCGGTGTGGCTGCTATTCTTGCATAAAAATGGTCCTCTGTATAGGCTCTCTTATTTCACATATTGGGGGACATGACGGCTGGGCGGAGTGAGTGGAACTAGGAAGTAGAACAGAAAGTTTTGCCTCTCCTTGGCACGTTTAAGGCTGGTCAGTTTTATTTGACATAATCTTTTGTGAAATGCAGCCCGTTTCATCAGATGCAAGGAACCTCGCCTTATTTGGCAGGTTCTTATATGTTAGAGTGCCTGACAGATGTAATCGGGAGCAGTGAGAGAGACTGAAATGCAAAAAGTAGGAGCAGTGTTATTGCTAAAGACGCTTGGAGCCTTGCTAGTCAAAACTTCACTTCGACTTTGCTTCACAAATTCAGTTCATCTTACATGAATTATTGTGAAATATTTCTAATTACCGCAGTCCTGAGGCATTTGCCAGTGCATGTTCATTGTTTGATTAAAACACTGCTGATGTGTTTTGCATATTTGTCAGTGGGAAGAGCTACTCCAGATTTTATATGGCAGACAGAGGTCTTAAGTATTATCAGATGCAGCCTATTCAGTACCATGTGCATTTTCACTGAGCTAGTTTTGTTTTAATAACCAAATTTGGTTTATTTCTTTTCAGTGCTGTTTGCTTTAATTCTGCCATTTGCTTTAGCTCATCAGAATCCTGGCAATGCCAGATCAGGCTTGGATATTTTCTCCATATCTTCTGCAGTGAAAAGAGATGCAGAGTTCCTTCTATTTTTTACTTTATCCTTATCCTTCTTGAGTACATCTTAAAAGTCTTTGTCCATCTCCTTAGACACTTTAATATTTGATTTGCATTTGATGAATTGCCTGCCACTTTAATATTTCTGATTTACATTTGATGAATTGCCTGCCAGCACTCCTGCATCAGTTGGTTCCTTCTTTCAAATGTATGATATGATTCTCTTCTTTTTTGATAAAATTTGGGGCATGGTGTTAACAGATTGTACTTCAAGAAATGTAGGATAAATTGCTTATCCTATTGTATTTGTATTATTAGTATAGAATTAGTTTAGCTGTTTTGTCAATTGTGGTTCTGCATGCCAAAGTCAGAAATAACAAACCAATTGTATGGATTATGCTCAGTGGGATGCAACAGTTGCAACCATATATTCAATGTAGGATTTGAATATTTTCCTGAAAGAATTTTGTTATTGGAGATCAAAGTTGTTCATAAAAGCTCTATTGTAGTGAAACATAGCAAATGTTTTTCTATTCTACCATCAAATTGAGTTTGTTTTGTTTTAAATTGTGGTTTATTAAATGCTTTTAGGACTCCTTTGAAGTCTAGACTTCTATTGTATATATTGTTTAGATTATTAGCTTAGATTTTTGCAGATAGAATCAGAAAGCTTTGGTGTTTTTTGTTTTAAGTTTGAAATAAACCAAGTTGAGACAGAATGCTAGCAGGGATTCCTTCAAAATGCTTCCGGGCACTTAAACAGGATACAGGTGCACTGAGTTTTCATTCCTTCACGATTCTCTGTACAGTACTGACTATTTTACTGATTACATTGGGGCGAAATTAAGAAAACTGTTATTTCCAGCAAATAGGAGGAGTTAGACAAGGGAAGGAATGGGCCAGAAAACACATTAGTTGCACTCTATTGGAGCATTTGAAAGTATTGAAAAAATTTGCAGAGAATGAC